ATTGTTGTGTTTCGTGTAGAGACGAGGTATTGCCGTGTTACCCAGGTTGATTTCAAATTCAGAAGGCTCAAGCCATTCTCCTGCCTCAGCCTCTCAAAGTGCTGGGATTACACGAGTGAGTCACTATACCCGGGCTAAATTAAATTTTGAATAGATAAGATATTTATATACTTCAAAAATAAAAAGGTACAGAAAAAGAAAAACAGTGAAAAGTTTTCCCTCCACACTATTCCTCATCTAGTACCCTTCCATGGTAACCACATTTGCTCTGTGTATCCTTCCAATATGTTCTTCTGAATCTTTCTATATTAATGCATAAAGAGCCATAAAGTTATTTTTATAGAGTCATAATCTTTCATTATGCAAATATACCATATTTTATTTGGTCAGGCCTCTACTGTTGGACATTTCGGTTGTTTCCAGTCTTTTGCTGTTGCAAACAAAGCTGCAGTGAATATCTTTGGATTGCGTCACATTCAATGTAGAATAAATTTCTTGAAAGAGTGGGTCATAGTTGCAATTTTAACAGATAACGCCAAATCTCTCTCCAAAAGAAATTTGTACTTACCCATCAGTGTATGAGAGAGCTTATTTCTCCAAAGTTTTGCCAATACAATGTGTAATTAATTTTTCAAAATTTTGCTAATAGGTAAAAAGTGTGCTGAGATATAAATTTGCACTTATTTTCAGTAAATTTTGGCCATATTTATATACTTAAGAGCCATCAGCAATTCCTTTTTTACTTTTATTAATATTTCTATTGGTTTGTTGGTCTCTTATTCATTTATATATTGGACAGATGAGCCTTTTGTGATGTGGTTACAAATATTTCCCTATTTCTTTTGAACTTGCTCATGATCCTTTTTTTTTTCCATGCAGATTTTATCTTTTTTGTAGTGAAATACATCAACCATTTTCTTATGGCTTTTGAATTTTGAGACGTAATTCAAAAGTCTTTCATCATTCTGGTATTACAAGATAATTATCTTGTGTTTTCTATTTTGGTTGCGTTTGTTAATATTTGGAATTTTTCTTGGTGGACGGTATGAGACACGACTTCAACTCCTCAGATGATTATGAAAACCAAAATATGAGAATTACCACCACAGAACTACACCAAGATCTGATCAACTTTGTGTTGGTTGTGTCTCCTCAACATCCCACCACGAGACTGCGGTCTTTCAAGTGTCCACGTCACCACACTCATAGGCCTTTTCCTTCCTTTTCACATCTCTTGTTTCCTTTTTAAATTGTTCATTATGAAATATATTGCTGTTTAAAGAATAATAATAATACAATGAAATCTTCATGTACCTACCACCGAGCCTTTAAAAAAAAAAGTCATTCTCGTCCTTCACCACATCCAGCATCTGTAGAAGATTCCATCCCTCTGGAAGGTTGAGGAAGGTAACCTCATCTGCTCCTGAATTGCTCAGCTTTAGAACATTCCCCCAACACCCTAGAATCCAGCAGGCCTTGACTTAGAACATCCAGAGCACGTGGCTCAGCTGCTGGGTCTCACTACTCCACCCACACGTTTCAGTAACATCTGCTGCCTAGCAAAGCCACGTGCATGCACACCAGGGTCAGTGAAATTATGGGTTGTAATTTTCTGGGAGAGTCTTGAACACCAGACGGGCTTTGGATTATGGTCAAATGACAGTCCCAGCTGGGTTTGAGTCTGAGCTCGAACATTAGCTAGCTGTGTCCTGGGACGAGTCATGTCACCTCTCCAAGTCACTTTCTAGTTTCCCCATCTAAGAAGTGAAACGGTTGAATTCTTTGATCTCTGAACTAGTTCTGAGATTCTTTTATTTGTGTCAAACACTTAAGAAAACTCAGAGAAACCACACATACAAACAACTGTCAGTTTTGTAGAAAGGATTTAGAATCATGCCCCCAAATTGGGTGCCTCCAAGCCTGGCCAATGGACCAGCTGTACCTGAATCACATGATTACCTGTCAAAATGCAGATTCCTGGGCCCAGCACAAGGCTTTCTAGCTATGGAGCCTGTGAATCTTCATTATAATAAGCATCATTCCCCTGACCACGCCACACCACGTGATTTTGAGACACATAAATATTTGAGAACTACTGTTTTAGAAGTCCAACACACTATTCATTGTGCAACAGAGCTGAGAACTACTTTAAAGGAGTTTAAGAAACATGTTTTATTGGGATAGGCATATACAGAGTAGACAGACCAAATGCTTGTCTTTGGAATCCATAATTTTT